ATAATTCACTACAATGAAAAATGTAACTTTCTTCCTTCGTAACAATGGCACCGGGATATGGGCTCGCTCTGCGGGAGCTTATAAAATACAGTGAAAGAGATGGTCCCCGCCACCCTGACCCGAGCTCGCCAAGGGATGGACCTACTCACTGGAAAGACGGAATTGGTATATTCTGGGCTTCCTGCCGGGGAGACACAGGCGAGGCCTCTGGGGGACTGTCACCAGCCGCCCCTGGGGGCATCATTCCAAAGTGACAGCGGATGCCCCGAGCAGAAATCCACTGGGCCCCAGTCCAACCCCAGTTTTGCTGTTCACCGTGTGACATCAGCTTAGTGACCTGTCCTGTCTTAATTTTCTCATCTGGATGTGGGGAAAAGAAATTGGGACCTCACATGACTTTGGAAGGATGAATTAGAATAATTACGAACTAGGCCGTGCACATGATGTTTAATTACGGAAGGTTACTGACTTTCAGTGTAAATATTGGGTAAAAGGGCCGGATGGATAAGTACTTTTTTTAAAAATCCCCACCTGAGGATATGTTTTACTGATTTTAGAGAGTGGAGGGAGGAAGGGAGAGAAGGGGGGGGAGAGAGAGAGAAACATCGATCGGTTGCCTCCCACACATGCCCTCAACTGGGGGTTGCACCCGAAACCGAGGTATGTGCCCTGACCAGAAACTGAGCCATCAGCATTCAGGTGCCTGGGACAACACTCGAACCAACTGAGCCACACCAGCCAGGGTGGAATAAGGACTTTCGGACGCCTGAAACCAGCTGCCAATGGCCGAAGTGTAGCGGAGCTGATTCTCGGTGCTTATTGAGGTGGCTCCTTACTCAGTTTCTGATTTATCCCCCAAGGTCTGCACCTGTCTACCAAGGCTCATCTTCTACTTTCCTTATTTCTGCAGCAGAAACACAGGGCCGGCGGTTTTGGAATGAAACGTGTTCCTATTTGTTACTCGTGCTTGTAAGGTTTTGAGTGATAAAAGCTAAAAAATGAAATTTAATTACCTTGGGTTTTTGCTTCATGAGAGTATTCTTACCACGTAGGGAATTTGAGAGTCTTGATATTATGGTACAACAAAGACAGGTCTGTACCAAATTTTCTTTTCCTTTTTTTTTTTTTTTTTAAGGCAGTCTGAAACTGTGAATCTGCAGATGATGCTGTTTTATTTACTATGGTTAGTGTCCAGAGCAATCCACAAAAACCTATCCAACTTGTGTGCTACTTTCTCTAAAAGAAGGTGCAGAGGTTAGCTGAAGAATATATGTGCACAGGCCGTGG